ACTCTGAGACATGGATAGGTCTCCCAGGTCATCTTTAGAAGCGTAACAGGCTTCAGCGCACAGTTCTAAATACCATCTACAGTCACCTGGAAAAATGTGTGACACAGCAAATAAATTCATAGCACATCTTCCAAGTCCTTTAGTGCCCTCTCAACCTCCTCTGCTCCCTTTGGGGCTGGTTTTAAAAAAAACCCAAGGCTGGAGGCTGAATTTGGGGTGATCCTGGAGCTGCAAGTCTCAGTTTGACCTCACAGGGAGTCCAGTGTTACCCTACAGCTGGCCAAAAACAGCTCCTCAGTTTTCTGCAGCTTGCTCTTAATCACTGCAGACCGAGCTACTGGCTTGGAACAGGATGTGGATTCTGCCATGGCAGTATATTGAATAAGCTTAATTGCTGTCATTAATATGACCTCAGGAAGCATTAAAATGTATCAGGCTGCAGCAAAACTATACCCCTCTTTTGTTACCTTTGTTCTTCATGTCATTTCTGAAAAGTCACAATGGAATAACCAAGCAGAACATTACACCTTTGCAACACATCATAAACACTGCAAGCCTAAGTGAAAGATATGCTATAAAATAAATAATGTTTCTGACGGAAAGCATAAATCACCTACATGTTAAACTGGAGAAATCTGTGTAAATGTACAGACTGTAAAGACTGGGGTATAACCACTCTATCAACAGGTCTTACATACTGTACTCTTTCTGTTACCATACTTCACTGCAATTATTAGCCTCCTTTTCTGCCAACTCCAATTTTAACATACCGTCCCCTTGCCAAGGCCACTTGATTAAAAATAGAAAAACATCACGTAAATGCAGGCATGTGGGGAGCAGATACAGCACAGAAAAATGGGTCACTGGAAAGAAACATTTACTTTTCTTAGGGAATTATCCTGTATAAATATTTAGTCATGTAAATAGGTGGATATTCTCGAGTAGTTTCCTGAAATTCAAAAGGTTACTAACCACAAAGGCACAAATGTGACATCTTGCAAGATTCAGGTCTTACAAGTCTTACCAACTTATTTGTTTGGAAATCTTTAATAAAAACCTGATAATGGGATCATTTTGATATTTTCAAATGCTACAGTGAAACAACTAAATCTCATGGCAGTCAACCATCTCTTAAGTAGTTAAATATTTTTATCACAATCCAATTATAATGTATTTGTAAATATTCTTGTTTGGATAAATTTCTTCCTAATTGTTTGTAGCTGATCCTAAAGATCTATCACTTCAGGAAAAGATTTCACAGGAGGAGGAAAGCTGGAAAATGTCACTATATGGAGCTAACTTCTCTGTTATACTGTTTATCTCTCATTTGTACAGAATCAGTTACTTGAGTAGATGCTCTGTGTTCAGCTGTGGAGATAAGAAACCAAATCCTAACTCTCAAAGGAGTCAGTGATAAAATTGCCATTGACCTCAGTGCAATTAGTACTTCACGTCATGTGAACTATACGGTTCAAAGACACTTCTCCCTTATTTTCTTCTACCAATCTAGCAAAGAATACCTTTTATGAAATACAATTAAGAATCACTCCAAGGAAAAGTGCTCTCCAAGAGCATAACATTTGTGGGACCACCTCAAACCTGACCATCTGCTTGTGCCAAGGCTATCTTGGACCATCTCCTTGAGGGTTACGGCCTCATCACTTTTCATCACATCCAGAGAAGGCAGCACTTTGGAGACAGACTGGAAGATGGGATCTGCAGCGGGGACACATGCTGGGAGATGAGTTTTCATAGGGAAAGGCAAGAGGGAATGTCCCCCTGATAAAAGTCTTGGTAGCCTCTCTTTGCTGGCTGAAGACTTGCACCGTTATCTCAGACTGCTGCAACACTGAATGCTAGCAGGAGATGCAAGAGCTTAAGCCTGGACTTGCTGGAAGCTTAAATATAGCTGGTTGAGGAAGAAAATGATAGGAAACACAGAGCTCTCCTCTTCCACTGAAAAAGCCCTCTTTGCCTTATTTAAAAGGAAGGCGAGGACACCACTGCAATAGATATAATGCCTAGAATGAGAAAAACAAAAGCAGTAAAAAAACCCTCATTATTTTCTGGCATGAGCAATCTGTAAGGAAAATGCTTCTTGAGTAGTGGCTTGGCGAAAGGAGATCTTAGCATTAAATCTGAAATAAGAGATAATATCCGGGTGAGTAGCCTTGATGTTTATCTGAAAAGGCATTTTACTGCCATTTAGCACCACAGGATCCAAACCCTCAGAAAAATCACTGCACCACTCTCCGGAGAGGTCGATAACCGAAACACGTTACAGGGAATTTTTCAGAGGAAGGGGGAATGAGAGATCAAGTCATTTACTCATGAGCACACTGGTGAGGACGAAACCAGATCCTGTGGCCTCCCTCCTGTGGTGTCATCTGCATGTTGGACATCTCTAAGGATGTTCCTGGGCCATGCCCACGCAGGCAGGTAGCCCTGTGAATGATCAGGACCTGGAAAATCAGCCTGTCAGAAAAACTCCTGCCACAGAAATGGGTGCGAATCCCATTTTGGGGGTTGTTTTTCAACCGAAGATAGGGTTCTGCTGAAAATATCACAAATTGTGGAACAGCCTACGAGTTTCCATTGGCCTCCAGCCATGACATGCAACGAAGAAAAGAAGAAAAAAAAAAGAATGAAAACACTTTTTTCATTTTGTTCCTTTAGGAGGGCCCAGAAGCTGTGTGCACTACAAGTGCCACGTTTCTTTGTTGCACTCCAGCAACCAACACAGATGCAGCTGGGCCAAGAGCTGGATGCATTCACTTTGTGTATCTTGGATGTAAGGCTTTGGAAAATCTGTCTTTCAGTTATACAAATGGTCATCTCGTTCTCTGCTGGGAGTTGCACTCCCATTGTTTATTCTGCATTTCTAATATTGACTTTTGTAACTTGTTTAATTTCCTGAGGCTCAGGTCAGTGTCATTTAAAAAATGCATTTTTTTCCTCTCACAAAAGCCAGCTTTCATTTCCCAAATTTCCTTGTGTCACATAGAAAACTGAGTTATTGGTGGGAACTACACTTACTGATGGGACACTGGAAAAAGGGAGGACACGGATCTTCTCCCCATCTCTCACTTGTATTCATGGCAGCCCCTCATCTAGCTAATAATCATCTATAAAATGTTTCTCCTTGCCATTACCTGAAAGACAAAGGGCGATTATCTTATATTCTATATGATTTGTGTTGTTTCCTACATCTCAAGCCTTTCCTAAGGCTTTTTTTAATTGTAAAAGCTGAGCCTCAATCTTAATCTATTTTGAACTCACAGCTCCTCGAAAATCTGCAGTCAGGCATTGGTACCTCATTCCCAATATGAAGAAATCGGTGCCATTTCACAGTATTTCTACAACTTTTGTGGTTACAACTTACTGAATTGCTTCATGAATGTCAAATTGTTAATTAATGACAGGGGTAATTCACCATCCTGCCTATCGGTAAAATATTATCAGCATCCTTCTTCTCTAAAAAGCTTTGAAAGGACTTACTTTCCATTCTGTCCTAGGACTGAAAAGCAGCAGTGAGATGAGACAAACCAGAGGGTGTCAGAAAGAGAGTCAAAAACTCCTTGAAGGCAAAGTGAAATGTTTGCTCTGGAGCTACCGGTTGTAAGTTTTACTCTATATCAAAATTTAACATGATACTAAGCTGGATGCCAGGATTGCTATCCCAGTTCTGCCCTTCTAGTGCTGGAAAGGTAGAGGACAGTGTCCATACCCACACCAGCCGGGGCAGCAGCAATGAGCAGAGTCCCAGCTAGAAAAGCTCCCCAGCCTCAGAGAGATGCAGCCTCTATCTCCCGAATTCATGTCTTCAGCTACTAGCAGAAAGTAGTGCTGCCTTAAAACCCACTAATAACCTTTAAGCCCATGCTTTTACACTCCATTATACTACTCAACACTAACCACTAGACTCAAATTCCATTACCAGGACAGCTTTGCAGTGCATCAAGCCCTTGAACTAGTTATGACACTAGCTCAGTGGCTTTCACAAGTGACTAAGTACACTGAGGAAGAATTTCATTTCACTGGGAAATTCAGAGATTAAGGCTCTTATTCAGCCAGCCCTCCAGAACCTGCAAAAAGGAATGATAGTTGTGGTAATTATGATAGCATAAAAGCACAGTCTAATGCACACCTTGGCTGAAAATATTATGTAATTGACTCCTTTCTTTTGCAACTATTATAACCACGATGTCCAAAAATAATAACTTGCTTTGTACATAACAGGCCATGCCCTAAAAAACTTATATCTGAAGTCCAACTTGGGTGCAGTTAGCACCATGGGGTGATGTTAAGCCACTCAGGACTGGTCAAGAGTACACGAGCCATTCTCCTGTTTCGCCTATGTAATCCTGGGGTAACATTAGCTAAGACATCCATTTGCAAAACATTGTATAATTTAAAGCACTGAACAGAGATCTAAATTCTCACTGCAGACAGAGAGCATTGCCACAGACCCAAAATCATCATAATGCTCTCCAGAGGGTCCTATGTCTTCCATTTGACAAGAGAGGGAAAACGGCAGGACTGAGTCCTCACAGCAAACACCAGTTAAGTTCCTGAAGGGCCTGGAGTGACAGAGCAGACCACCGACACGCGTGAAACACTGACAAGGACTTCTTACTTCACAAGGGTGCCCTTAAGTGCTCTGACACAACCTTGGTAAAGACCATTAAGTGCAAGTAGATACCCAATTTCTCACACATCTGCTGACTCCTACCTAAGTTCTTGCTCAAAAATCCAAATTCCAAATCTTGGTGTATCCTCCTGTAGCACTACAGTCAACACAGTGCAGCATTTCCCTAAATCTTTATACAGAGACTCAACAGATTTGTTCGTGAGGTTGAAGACTCACGTCTGGTGGACAAGTATAGGGATTGTAGGAATAAGAACACAGAATTATTTAGTAGAGAGTAGCATACTACATAGCAGACAATCTATGTTGCTCACTGTCATGAGGGCTTCACACAGCAGTGATAGTTGCTTACCAAGGGTGTCTTGCTGCTTGCTCACAGGTATATCTTTTATTAGGGTCTTTCTCCATCAAATTCCGAATAAAGTCTTTAGCTGTAAAAGATAAATAAATAAATGAAATACAAAATTATTTCTGCAGAAGATGCTTATAAAATTAGTGGGAAAGGCTTGGAGAAAACCTGCAATAGGAGACTCTCGTTGTTCACTTCAAGCAACTGAACACATGGGGAGCTGGGAGAGCATGTTGCATGTTTAAAAAATGAAGTTACAGAGGAAAATGGACTCCCTTGGGCAGGAAGTAGTGTGGTTTTGGTCAGCATTAGAATGGAGGGGAGGGTGATCACAGCATGGCATGCATCCAGTAGATTCAGGAGACAATAGCTGAAGGGGCCCAGCAAAGCCAAATATGGCCTGAAATTCTTCATGTTGCTTTAGGTGATGAACATTCCTCCAGAAATGCAAAGGGGTCTGCCAGCAGACCTTCATATTTTCTCTCAAAATCATGATAGGCTTTAAAAACACTCTCACAACACATATTTTTAAGAAGTCCATGCCAGGCAGATCTGGATCACAGACGTAAGTAGCCTGAAATGTTGTTCTATTAGAAAATCACAGGATATGGTCAACTTTAAAAGAAAGCAGCTCTTTTTTACATCTCTCCTACCTTAATTAGCAGCATTAATGAATCTGAAAACTGTCCTTCTAGGGATATTTTCACACCAGAAAATTTCCCTAGAATCCATTTCATCTCCTATGTGAAATGGCAGACATTTCCCCATTTTTGGAGGGAGCAAGGACACCATGCTTTTGTGACCTGCTGAAGGCTACAGAGCAACTTGGTGGCACTTTCAGCATGGAATAATGAATGTGCCTCTGCAGTTGCATATAGACACCAATGTTCATGGTTCAAGCTGGTAGACCCTGAGCTGTGTTGGATCCTGATGCCTTCAGGCCCATGTTCATGTACAAGGCAGCCTGGCAGTGTGTCTGGCTCTTGGCTAGAGTTGTTAGAATGGGCAAAGCCAGGTGCTAATGAGTTAAATGACTCTGGACTGGGGAGGAAGCTGTCTGGATGAGACCACGCAAGCAGCACTCGCAGTTACTAAATCAGCATCTGTGCTCCGAAAACAGGACAAAATTCCTTCCTTTCTCAGACACTTGATAATATTTTCCCCCTGCTGTTTAACCTTTCCCCCTCATTTGGAAGCCATTAATTTCTTGGGATTGTCTTTCCCCTATCTATTGCTAGCTCACTTCAGAGCACAGCTTTGGTAACAGAACTGAAATAGCTTGTGTTCTATTATTAGCGACACATAAAGCATCTGCATTTTATTTGGATGTGAAGGAAAAATTGAATTGCTTTGTCTTCTTAGGACTGAAGGCTAATTCTGCTATCTTAATCTTTTGTTCCAGCTACATTTTAGAGCTCTGTGCATGACTGGAGGAAATGGTACTTAATTTGCTCTCCTGAAGAAACAACCTCCCATAACTTTTTGAGCCAAGACAAATGCACATTCCCAGTGATCTGCAGTTAAAGGAAATTACACATAAGATGGACGGCTCATTTTCATGCATGACAGAGAATATCTATAACAGGTACAAATGCATTATGCAATTAAATTATCAGCAGCTTCTTACCAGACTCAGAGATGTCATCCCAATATGGAGAGTCAAACTCATACTCTGCCTTAAGGATCTGCTCGAAGAGTTTGGAGTCATTTTCGTCATAGAAGGGGGGATATCCACAGAGCCTAATCAAGAACACAAAAAGAGACATGTGACACTCTGACCTGTCTCCAAGAAGGTGAGAAAAGGAGTGAAGAAAAAACTCATATTTAAGACTTAATGTTTCCAAGTAGATAAATGCCACCCTAAGAGATATCTGTTCAGGAATACGTAAAGCCATGTCTCTAAGATCAGCACCAGCCTGGACAAACTGGTCTATCCAAAGGAATCTGACATAGAAACCCTAGTGAAGCTGGCCCTATACTCAGACACACATGGACAGCTGAACCGTCCTCTGCGTGTGTCTGAGAGTCTTGCTGCAGGTGTTTAGGCAGTGGTATAGCCATGAGCCCTCACATCCTTTCCTACATATGCAGTAAAAGACTCTTTCATGGGCTACATTCAACATTCAGAGAGTCAATCATGTCCTCCATTGCTTCAAGCACAGTCTTTGCACATCTGCAAGTCCTCTTCATACCAGCTTAGCTACTTGGGTTGTCCTTCTTGACTGTTCTGACCTAGCGCCTTACACAAGCCACTTCTTAGGTTGGTTTTATTCTCCCCCAGACAGTGGGGAGATAATGCAGCAGCTCCATAGACCAAGAGGCACCACAATGCCCTAGAACCAGGGACACATTAGAGGTAGATGTCACTTACACAGCCACATATCTAGCATCACAACAGGCTTTGAGCACATCCAAGCGTCTCTGTGTTGTGCAAGAGACCCTAGCTGTGAAGGAAGGTTCGCTGAGCAATCTAGTCTGGATCTTTTGGTCTTTTGGGTTGTAGGAAAGAAAACTTCCAATCCACTGTTGGAAGAACAGCTGCCTTTGTTTAGCTGTGCTGTTGGAACTCCGGACACATCCACAGCAAAGCACACACACACACACAGAGAAAAGACCTCCTGTCCTGAAGAGCAATGCTGGAGTGGACAGGAGAAGATCTATTCAAAATATAAGCAAATGTATACGCTTCTATAGGATCACACCAATCTACTCCAACTATAGCCTACCAGCCTTCTCTCTGTCCACAGCCAGTTTTTATGTGAGTGGTAACCAATGCACCCAGTGTGGCACCTCTAACCTTTATGAAGCAGCAATTGTCACATCTTTTAAGAGCTTGATGGTTGCACCACACAAAAATGAAGGTTAATTTGATGACCAGTGTATTTCTGATGTCAGAAAAACTTAGTCCTGACGAAGAGGAAACTCCCAGGCCCAGCCCCTTGCTGTAGATGTGACCTGCCATCTGCATGGACTTCTTTTCCAGGATGAGGTTTGTGGAGGAAGAGGCTGGTGTGAAGCAGGGCAAAGAGCTAACCAGAGCTATCGCTCATAGACAACAGGACACATCTATAGGTCATGCTGGTCTCTGCTTCCCAAAGCCCCAGGAAGAGGATGTCTGGAAGAATCTCTCAACTCCTGTTGCAGAGGGTGCACAGGAGGCACACAAACCTACCGCTGCGGTGGGGGATCTTCCTCTCTTACTTCTAGAAGTGATTTTGTTGCTCCTGTCAAATTGCTTATCTTGCATAAGGTTAACCATAGTCCTGCCCTGGTCCTAAGTATTTATAACTTGACTTCTCAGAAAACCTAGCCCCAGCACAATCAGAACATCTGCAGAATGTCAGATTTATCTCTGAGGCTGGTCCAAGTTTTGAACAAACCATCCCACTCAAGGTTAAACAGGCCTTTCATCTCTATTATTTCTATAAAGAGATATCCCATTTTTTCTCACTTATCTCTAGTCTGTGATGTAAATTGTTCTTCCACATACTTCCCATACTTCCATACTTCCACATACTTATGATATTGAAATAATGATCTTTTCCTTACAGTTTCCTTAAACCCAGAGTCAATCAACTTCAATAAAGTATTTAATTGGAAAGAAAGAGTCATTACGAACTGACTGATGATTTAGCATTATGCTGCAGCACCAATAGAAAAAAAAAAAAAAAGCAAGAAATTAAATAGTTAAGTTATTTATAACCCAAAGCCAGCCTGCTGCCCTGGAGGTTATTTGAAGCAACTCAATACTTCAGAGTAAAGGAGCAATGTTTTGTTAGCTCTGAAGTGTCAATGTGCTTGATAAATAATTCAAATCCTGAGTGAGACACTGATCTCTGTCAGATCAATAGTGACCTGTAAGACCTCAACTGAAATCTGCAGCATTATAATGAAACCACTGCATTTCGACTGAATCTGAAATCTGTCCATCTTTCAAAGCAGATGAGCTCTGCTGTAGCCATTCCACTGTACAGTTGCCCTTATCAAAAGTAAGGCAGACAATGTCTTTCTGGACATTCAAAGCAAGCCTGAATGCCTGCTTAGCAGGTAGGTTCTTGATGGAGGTGTTCCTATGTGAAACCTGGAGGTGCAAGTAGAGAATGAGAAAGGCCAATTAAAATTTCGTGCATCTCACCAAACCCTTCAATCCATCTGGTTGATGGAGGAAAAGTTGTTGATAATTGAATACAGAAACTGGATCTAGACTCTGGATCTAGTTCTGCAGTATCTGTGAGCAACATTGTCATTACTTGCCTTCATGGGATAAATACCAGACCTCAGATGCCACAGTTTTGGGTGAACACACACAAAGCAAATTTCACCTTTGTCCTTTTTCATAATGCTCAAGATCTGGGGATTTTGGAGTTCTTGGGGCTGGGGAGTTCTGGGGGCTTTGGAGTTTTTGGAGATCTGGGGCTGACAGTACCAGAGGTGCAACTGTCACAGTGACAGTGGTGGTTCAGCCTAGAGGAAGACGGTCTCTTCCCAGGACATGCTGAGCAATCACTCCTGCTGTTCTTCCCTGCAGGCTTTGGTGGGTTCAACATAAGAAGCCTGACAGCCCTTCATTAATTTCTTGCCTTCCTCAGCACTTTCCTTAAAGAAAACCAAAGTGCTCGGATAAAGCACTCCTTGTTAAGCATGTTCTTGCACCGCCCCACAACCAGACAGCACTGTGCATGCAGAACAGAGAGAGAAATAACTCTCTTAAAATGTGCAATGTACTAATTATCTTGGCAAAGGTACAAGAGTGCAAGTTAGGGCTGCTATGATTTATAAATTCTCATGGCAGCAAAATGTAGAGGCAAGCAGCTGAGCAGCGCAGAGCCGGAGGGCGACAGCTCACCTTTTCTGCAACCCTGCGCGGGGACACGTACCCCAGCTGGAGCCCCCCGAGGGGTCCCAGGTAGATCTGTGATGAGGAAGCACAAGGAGGAAGCTAGTGGAGATCTCAAAGTCAATGAATGGGAGCTAGCAGGTTCGCTGAGCCCAGCGCTGGGGCTCCTCGTGCACGAGGACACCCAGCATCATGCACAAGGACACCCAGCGCCCGTGGCACAACAAAGAGAACAGGCTCTTTGGGCACGGCTCCTGTCTTGCTGGTGCAAAATAACTGGGAACAGGTCAACCATCAAAGGCAGCTTTCAGGAGCTTTATGCCAGAAGGTGATGAGTCCATCAGCAATGGCAAACCAACTCTTTCTTTTGTGTCACCATCACCACTGGACTTTATGCCCAGGATGCTTTCCCTGCATCTGAAGCGACAAATGGGAATACTTAAGAAGTGATTACTCCCTGCTAATAACCTTGTACAGGAACCTGCTCTGGAGGCATCTTACCATCTCATGCAAACAGGTCTGAGGTGAACCAGGGCTAAAAGTCAAGGTATCGAAGGGTTTACGGTTGGACTCGATGACCTTGAAGGTCTTTTCCAAACATAATGAATCTATGATTCTAGGACTGGTGGTCACCCCCAGGGCATTCTGGCATGAGGAAAGGATGCAAGCCAAAATGTAGACTATCTATCTGCTGTCCACTAGTTTAAAATAAAGTTTGGGAAGACATGGAAATCTTAACAACACTTAGCCTACACTGGCTTTGCAGTGAGGGGTGGGAAAGCCCCAGCAATTTAGCCCCCATGCAATTTATAGTTGGAGGAAATTCTGCTGGACTTCCAGAGACTTGGCCAACTTCCAAAGTCCATACTAAGTTTTTATTTAATTCTTAGAGTATCAAAATCCCACTGAATTCATTTCCATCTGCTGAGAGATTTCTGTGTGAAGAAAATGACCTCACTATCAGAGGTTCTGCTGATTTTCTTTAGATATGCAAAAATACAAAAATAAACTTTCTGTCTTCAATGAGAAAAAATCTTCTGGTGTCCTGGGGGATCATCAGTCAGCTATTAGCTGTCATCATTTTCTTGCAGTGTCACCAAATCAAATCTTTCCAGAATTATTAAGCTACCTTTTTACATTAGTAACCTCCTGTCCTCAGTCTTTCCTTGAAAATGAATGGGATGCAGATAAGCAGAACACAGTGCGGTTAGTGTACAACTTGCAATACAGGAGGTCTTGAGGGAAGTTTTACATACAATTTTATAGTGAGAATACAGGAGAAAAATCAGTAAGAGCTCAAAGATCTGAGCAGTCAGATCACACTCAGAAGAGATGTATTGTTTGGGAAGTCATCCAAGTGCTATTTATATTTATATGGGTGAACATATGTGTTTTTTCTCATTTTGGAAACAGACCCTCATACTGTGACACTGGTGCCCTCACAAAACTGCACTGCCCCCAAGGACATATTAGCATGGGGAATAAAAAATAAAATAAAAAACAAAACAACATGAAGAGAAAATTTAGGGCATGTTTTCCCAGTGTTTAACTGTGACATCCTGAGCAATCCCAATATTTACACTTTGCCTCCACTCATTCTCCTTTCAATTCCAAACAGGTCATTTATTTCTCACTTTTTCTCTTAACCTCCTGGGTCATGCTAAGGCAGGCTAGATAGCTGCCAAACTTCCCCCAGTGTGTGGCTCGGGATGATGATGGAAACGTCTTCTAGATCAGCATGCATTGTATTATCCTTGTTTAATTCTTCCATGTAAACATCATATAAATAACTTCATGCTCATGTACTTGAAATTAAACATCAACCCAGCAGCAAAGAGCTCCAGAAAGGAGCATGACACACGACTTTTCTTCAGATTCTCATTGTTTATAAATAGCAGTAACA